AAAGGCGTGGCAGCGCGCTAAACAAATTGCTCCGAGCTGTTGGCGGACAGCTCCATCAGCCGCCAGGCAGCCTTGGGGTTGAGTTCGTTGCGGTCGCGGCACAGCACCCAGACGTAGTGCACCCTCATCACCTTCTCCGGATCGCCCTCGACGACCTGACTCTTCTGGTCCCGCACACACATAATCTGCTGGGCCTGGAACGTGATGATCAGTACCGGACCCTGCTCCATAACCTTGCCCATTGCCAGTTCGATGTTCTCGATGTCGAGGATCTTGGAGTCCAGGTAGAGACCTGCCTTCTTAGCCTCCTTAATTGGATTCGCGATAATATTGAAAGTGCTTTCAAAGCACCAGTCCTTCAGTATCTCCAAGTCCCCCCGGACAATCGACTCCAGAATATTTGGAATGATGTCCGTTTCGCAGTCGCGAAGGAAGTCCTTCTGATCGAAGCAAGGATCAATCTTCACCAGCTCCGTCATCGTTTCTGAAAGCTCCGTCTTCGAAAAGAGTCCGCCCATGACGTCAGACACTTTGTCGGTGAGCAGGCGGGAGGCACGAATCACAGGGTTCTCAGACTCGTCGTATTTAACCTTCCAGTCAAGCACCTTGTTCACGTAGGTATTATTGTTCTTGAAGTTCTCCCACGACTCGTAGAATTTGGAGTCCTTATGCAGCTCCATACCTTGAAATTAAGATTACATTATGTCCATGAACTTTGATCTTATTAAAGGAAGATTCGGACTCACCAGTTGCTTCCGTGTTGGGCTCCACAACGCGATCGCTGTCGGTCATGTCGAGCTGGACGCGCTTACGCAATTGGGCAGGAGCACGATAGACCCGATTCTCTATGCTCGCACTGTCCATCTCCTTCTTGATGGTCGTCGTCGTGTTAGAGATGGCCTGGAAAGCGCTGGTCTGGCCCAGCTTGCCACTGGTGTCGGATATCGTGTCGCTGACCCCCTTGGCCTTCTTCGAGAGCTCCTCGGTCACCTTTTTGGCCAGGTCCGATTTGCTGGCGTCCTCCAAGACATCGCCAACGCGCTCCTTGATGGCGCCCAGCTGCTCTTTCAGTATGCTAGACGACTTTTGCGCCTCCGATTCGACAATGTTAAACTTCTGGCGGGCCGACTTCAGGGCGTCCGATTCCTCCAGCTTCTGGGCCTCTTCGCGGAACTTTCGGATATTGTCCTTGATCTCCTTGTTCTTATCCATCTCCGCCTTCATGTTGTCGAAGAACTGCGAGAAGAAGCCGGCCCTGCGACCTGGCGCACTATAAAAGCGGGGCTGCGGAGTAAAGTCATGACTTAGCCCAGTTGCTCCATTGGGTTTTATGACCCACACTCTAACCTGCTGCTGCTGCAGGTTCTGCGAGGCCTGCTGGCACGTGAAGAGACAGGCGCGATCCCGCGCAAGGGCAGCTATTCTGTACTGCAAGGAGAAAAAATCATTGAATGCTCGCCCGCTTTAACCTCGAAATAGGCACATGTAAGGCGGATCTTCGGGTACGCCAGTGGTGGCCGGGATCTGAGGGAACCTACCATGGTGGGGATTAGGTGACCGTTCGCAGGGAGTTTGATCGGAGCGAATGTTCGGGAGTGTGGCGTCAGAGGCTCTAAACTTTATGTAATTCCTGCCGCGAACCACGCACGTATCAGCAGTCAGCTGTTCTCTTCGTTCAGCGCGCGCCGGTGTTGCAAAACGACCGCCCTACGCCGGCGATAGCTCGTGCGACAGTTTGTTTCGTCGGTAGTCCGATTGTCCCGGGCCGATATCATGGAATGGGTCACAGCGCGCGAAATTCGAGTGGTGTGCAGTGATTATATTGTGACGGGGAGTGGCGCGTGTGGGTGCTTAGTTTTGGGAGATAGTTTCGTATTTTTTGTTGATAACTCAGGCTTTGTTGCTGTGTTGTAGTACAAGTTTCAATTGCGCGGTGTCCAGCTTTCAAATTAGTGGCATATATTTTTTACAAGTAAACATAACTCTGCCTACACTTTTTTTACAAAATGGTTTATAATATTATCTTTTACCTTTAGCATTTGTTAAAAATATCGATTATTTATCATCGCTGAGAACACCATTAAGCCACCTCTATCCAAGAACCGTTAGTTGGCGCGTAGCTTTACCACAAAATTCCAAGAATTTCGCCGAGATTGTTCTGTGCACTTTGTAGCTGCTGTTTCAAGTTGTCTCGGGGAATACGAATTTTTTTTTTTTGACTCAACGTCCTGATTTTACCCCCGAGCCGAGTTTAATTACATGTACATTATTATTAGATAAAGAAGTATCGCGAATACTTCAGTTGAATAAACTCCGCTTGGTTTTTGGGTGAGGATTTGTGGAAAGTAGAGTGCGCGATAACGGTAACTTTCGACCCGGACTTTCGCCATGTTCCGCAGCAACTTGGAGAGCAGTGGCGTACCAGCAGTAGGTGTTAGAAATCCCCCTTCGTTGCCTCTGACTGGAAAGATTTCCCCCTTGCAGGATAACTTTTCTGCTTTTCACGCAAGAGGAGGGCTCAACATGTTGGGCCTGCAGGACATGTACTTGGACACCAGTGGAGCCAACTCGTCGGCCACTTTGAGTCCGCCCAGCACCCCACTTACGCCGCTCACCCCCGACCCGTCGACGGCTGCTCAGACGACACACTTCCCTTTTCTGGCCGACAGCGCAGCCGCCGCCAATACGCTCCTGCTTCAGCGACAGTACCACTACCACTTGCTGCTCCAGCAGCAGCAGCAACAACTGGCTCTGGCGCAGCACCAATTGGCGCTGGCTGCATCAGCGGCAGCGGCTAGTGCGAATCACCAGCAAAAGGACGAGATTGCGCGATCCTTGAAAATCTTTGCGCAGGTGACGACGGGCGCAGCAGGTGAGAAAAGAGATGGCGAATAGCGATATGGCGTCGTTCAAAACGGAGTAGCCAAAAACAATGGGGGAGAGCGAGATGACTGTCTGCACAAGTACAGTTATGCCAAAGTCAATGGCCAGGGGCTTAGTTCAAGAGGGCTACGAAAGCACAGAGCAAAACAGAACTAGTGTTTATTAAATTAATATTGGCTTCAGATGTTCAATTTTCGCAATTAGAAAGATTATTTTTGAGCTCTTACTTTTTAGTAGATTTTTAATGACGCTTAAATTCTCTAGGTTTTGTGTGCTTTGTAAGGTCTCCTTGCTAACCATTTGTAACCCCCTTTAAGGGATATTTTCAAACGCCCCTGTCTTTTTGGCCATTGACCCTCTCAGCATTTTCGGTATTTCTTTTTTTCACTTCAGAAAGCCATTTTGCGTCTTATATTTTATTTTAGTTCTCTGCTTTTTCTCGTTTGTTCCTGTTTTTTTTTGTTCAATAACTAATACGCATTTGCTTATGACATTTCTAAAATGCAATTGAAAACCGAATAATAGCCAATCGATCTGGACACGGTAATGAAAAGCTTGCTATTCGCAGAAAATGCCGTTGGCACGGTGCAGGATGTGATGCAGGAGTTCGCAACCAACGGCTATGCGAGCGATGATCTCAGCCGCTTTTCTTACGGGAGTGCTCCGCCACAGGCGCAGACCCCACCGCCATCGCAGCAGCAGCAACAGCAGGGGTTGCACCTACCACTGGGGCGCAATACTGCCCAGCTGCACTCCAATGGAGCCAACTTAATGTCCAATCCACTCGCCACCCACTGGCTAAACAACTACCGCGAGCAGCTGAACAACGTGTGGCGGAACATGTCTTATATGCCAGCCGTCTCCAGTACAGTGGGGTTGCAGGCCCAGGCTCAGGTCCAAGCAGCAGCCACCGTGTCCCCCAATCTCGGCGTGGGAATGGGTCTGGGATTGCCCGTGCAGGCCGACCAGCTGCGCGGAGCTTCTAATCCCAGTAACAATAATAACAACAAGGTGTACAAACGATACAACAGCAAGGTCAAAGAGGTGAGTGGACCTGATTCCAAGGTTATTTTTTTGAACGATTTAAAACTTAAAAACTATTTGATATTTTCCGTAACAGATCAGCCGCCACTGCGTCTTTTGTGAGAATAACAACGAACCAGAGGCGGTGGTCAACAGCCACACAGTGCGAGACAACTTTAACCGAGTGCTTTGCCCCAAACTACGCACCTACGTGTGCCCCATCTGCGGGGCATCTGGGGACTCGGCGCACACTATTAAGTACTGCCCCAAGAAGCCGATCATCACCATGGAGGATGCGATCAAGGCGGAATCGTTCCGTCTAGCCAAGAGCAGTTACTACAAGCAACAGATGAAGGTTTAGAGGGCAAATCCAGCAGGAGCAGAGGCTCTGGCAGCTTTTGCAGCGTTTATATAACGAGAAATATATATACGCCTTCCGATCAAAGCTGGGTTAACCATATAGACAATACGTTTAAATAGCGCCTGGCGCGTTCGATTTTAAAGAGTTTTAGAGACTTATCTCGTGCCTATAGTTCTTATAGTATAGACAACGAACGATCACTCAAATCACAGTCAATAATTCAAAAATTTATGTCTGTTTCTGTGAAAACAAAACTAATTTTGTAATAGAAGACTCACAATATCGTAATACTTGTTCAATCGTCGTGGCCGATAAAAACATCTCACAATCTGAAAGTTGATGAATGGAATTGGTCTGCAACTGGTCGCCCTCATTTTGTCAAATGCTCGTTTGCGGCCGAAAAATTTCGATATATCTACAATTGATATACAATCTGTACTAAATTTTGAAAAAGAACACTTTGAATTTCGAACTGTCAACCGTATCATTAGAATTTAATTTAAAACTTGCTAAAAGAAAGAGCAAGGAACACTTTCGTTGAAATCGGCTACACTTTCATTGTAAAGTTTTAATTTTTGACATTCCGCAATTTTTTTATAGATAAGCGAAAAGTATTTTTATCATGTATCGCAACTATTAATTCCAACACACATATCTATATATATATAAATGTTATATATTTATTAAATCATGTTATCATTGATCAATTTTTCACACATGTAACCACAAGCCTATTTTATAATTTTTTTTATTTTTTTTCAAAAAGGTGTACATAACTGAAGTTGAAAAATTCAATGGCGCAAGTGCCAAATAAAGATTAAGGTTGCAATTTAAGAAAACAATTATCCTTCTTGAGTTTGAAACTAATCTATTTCGTCTTGGCGGAGTTTTTCAAAGAGGGCCAGGAAGATGCCATCGGTAAGATCACTATCCGGCAGGCAATAAAGGCAGTTCTTGCCAATATTGGGATAGTCCTTGTCGCCTACATTATGCCATTTGTTGCGTAAAGCCTTCTTGCAGCTGAGGAGCTTGTAGGATGGATTTAGCTGAAGGCACCGCTGCACCACCTGCTCGTTTTCCTCCTTCCACAACGAACACGTGCAGTAGGCAATACGTTTAACGTTCGGGAAGGCGCTCATCGCGTGCGACAGCATCTTAATTTGCACACCCTGCAGCCTGTACAGCCTGTTGTCGTCTTTCCGCTCGTCGCAGACGGTCATGCGGTTTTGCATTCCGCTTCCAGAGCAACTAGGGTCCACCAGGATGTACTCTACGTCCGCAAAACGTTCGGATGCTGTAATTTAAATATATTTCATATTAAATATTTATTGGGAGATATTTAAAAAACTTACTTAGGTCCAACGCGTCTCCCAAAATGGGTTTCACGATCTCGCACCCAGCCTGCTCGGTAATTTCACACAGCGTCTCATAACGAACGTGGTCCAGCTCCACGGAGTAGATGCATCCCTTGTTCTTCATCACGTTGCATAAATGCAGTGTCTTCATCCCGGGAGCTGCGCACATATCCAGCACAGTGGCTCCCATCGGTGGAGCAAGTAGTTCGGCGGCCAAAGATGTGGCCTTGTTCTGCAGTATAAGCCTCTTGCTGCGCACCAACTCATGGCTGACCCAGTAGTTGGCCCACTTGGCAGGGAAAATAAGCACACCCTCCACATGCAGATCTGTCATGAACTCGTCCTCCTCAAGGGATTTTATGGCAGTCAGGAAATCCGCATAGCTAGCGTCTGCAGGAAGCTCCTTGCGCCGCCAGTCTTCGCTAGACAGGTACCTCAAGGCCTCCGCCACACTGTATAGATTTGTGTTGACTCGTACATATCGAGGATTGCGTTCTGTGTAGGAAAACAAAAAGGCGAGTTCAGAAGTGTGTCAAAGTAAGATTTATTAAGAGTAACACGTAGTTACTGGTCCTTAAAAAGATCGAAATGAACTGGAATTGGCTGTCAGGACTTATGTCAGCCTTTTTACATATCTTTATGAAGTGCTAGGTCACTTAATTACTGATCCTTCTTTGGCTCTACAGCTTCCAACTCTTCCTCCTCATCCTGCTGCACCGGTTCCAAAGGTGGTGGCGGCTTCTCGCGGAAAGCCTTTAATACATACATGGCGACCACTAGGTTAACAACCACAACAGCCGTGAGAACTGACCAACAGTTGACCGTAAAGAGATCAAGATGGGGAAAGGACTCCTGCAGCCAGCTGCGCACGCCATAGAAGCCCAAGAAGGGCAGCGTGAACATGAGCACACTGTAGGCCAGCAGCCAGAGGAAGACCTCCGCGCTGGTGTCTTCCTCCTGAGTATAATTCTCCACGGGAGGATCAATGGCAGCCGGGGAATCATCACTGGCAGCTGCCACCACATCGACCTGCTGTTTCTTGTTCTTCTTGCCCATCTCAACCGGCTAATACTAGTAATTGTTGGGGTAACCTGCCTTTACTCTGGAGTCCAGAATCACTGATTGACTTCAGCAGTCGCTCCTTGTAACCTCGCACCGTTTGAAAGGGTTTGCTTTCGCCGTTCAGCTCCTTCCTGCCATACACCAGTTCGGTGACTAGAACCTTGGCCAAGCTGGGGTCAAAACTGGGGTTGTCCCTGAGCAGTCCTGTCTCCTCGATGGCCTTTTCCACCGCCACTCGATTATCGCAAAATTTTTTCAGCACCGTATGCAAAGAGCGTGCGCGCTACAAGTTCGAGAGGGAAAAGTTTAACGCATATTCGCCTGATCTGCAGCCTAGAGGTCCTATCCACTTACTGCAGGCTTCTCCGCGAATATCAAGGTCTTGACGGACTTCTGCTGCTGCAATGCTGTCTTCAAAATCTTGGCCGTCGCCCTGTATTTGGTGGGAACTTTTACGGAATGCGGTTTTTTACTCATTGTCGTCACGTGTGTGTGTTGTTTGCGCTAGAGCCGGTGCAGCCACTCACGACACTATCGATATGTATATCGAATATCAGGGATGGCGATAAGTTGGTTGCGGCTATTGAAACTGCGGAGTTGTTGGTAATTTTTTGAAAAGGCCTTCAATTAATGAAAACGTTTGTTCTCGTTTTGTTTGTTCACTTCAAATCATGTTTGCCAATGATATTTACAAAACATATGTTCTTCCGAATATATTTGTAATACTTTCATGAATAACCGATTAAGGGATCAATTGGCAGTGTGGCCATACGTTGCGAGCAAAAATGACTCGTATTTCCAACATTGCCAACCCAATGTATAATTCCTGTCGAAAGTTTTGCCGCGACATTTTAAATGTCGATGTGTGCCCTTTATTAAAGGCTCAGATTTGGGTTGAACAAAATGTAGATATGTCGTGGAAAATCGGTAAATTCGAATTATAACGAAAACGTATTATTTAAACTACATATGTCTTCACGGCAAAAAATAATAAAGAAAATAATTAGATACGAAAAACGCTGCTCCTGTGTTCCAAAATTCGTTTTAAATCAGTAAATCATCGAAGGAGCACGTCCTGACGCCAGGCTAAATATTTATTTCGGGGATGGCAGACCCCAAGTGCAAGAAGTGTGGCTTGGTCCTTCTGTGCTACAATTCACCGTTTTATTTTTCGGACTTAGTTAAAATTTGATCATGTCAGATTATACGAGCAGCAACGACCTGGCCGGAATTAATTCTCAAAATTAAATTTCCCGAACGCCAGTGACGGTAGAGACTGAATAGTTCGGAGGTGGAGGTCTTTTGAGGCAGGCACGCAAAGGGACGCCTCCGAATTCCTGGGCTTTCTACTCGGCGAGATTTCGGACCTTAGGAAGGGATCATGATTATGCCACAGCACATCAATAAGCTACCAAATTAAGCCCTAATATACATTCATTTCATTGAATTCAGTTCGCAAAATAATATAAATATTAGAATAGGAGGAGGACGGAATTTTGAATTGCCAGGAGAACATCCTGAAATTCAAAGCACCGTTCTTTCACTTGGTTAGTGAACTCTGTGCTGCAGTTCTGGTTGGGAATAGTAAGTACCACTGTTTTCGATTCCTAGATTAGGATTTAAGCTAACATTGATACTTCAGATTCCCAAAATATAACATTTCCGCCTGAAGTCAAGGCAATAGCACTGTATCCGCATCCCGACGGATGCATGCAGGATGATGGATGTTTTTTGTTCTCCTCTCGTTTGGCCCAATTAAATTCGGTATTCGAAAAAAAGAGCACGCCTCCTCCCCGAAAAAACGAAAAAACTCGGTGGCGCCGGGAACAAAAACAAAAAAGAGCACGAGAGAGAGTGCACACATAAAAAACATAAACAAGCCTTTTTCATCAGTGTGCGTGAGAGGAGAGAGAAGAGAGCGCAAAACGAAACGACTTTTGAAAAAAGACGCTCTTCGCTGTGATTTTTTTCAGTCAGTTTTTCGACGGTCGTGAACACGAACAGTTATTCTAGCTCCTCCTGTTCTGCTGCTTCTGTTTGTGTTTTTTGCGTTTGCCGCGACGTAAACAACCGAGTCCCAACTGCTCCTGCTCCACGCCCCCTCGCAACGTGCTCGTTGTAATTGCAATTAATCGTCGTTGGCCGCCGAAAAAAGTAAAATTTCGTGTGTCCGAGACAAAAAGGGCAAGAAGGCACAAGTGCAGAAAAAACAAAAAAAAAACATAAGCTTGCCGTGTGTGTCCATTGGTGTGTGTGTGTATTTTTGGCGTGCGCGGCCATTTTTTCTTGTTGCCACTCGAGTGTGTGCGAAAGAGAGGCCCGGCCAGAAAGCAGAACGTAGCAAACTACGCAAATCCCCACTAAATTCGCTAATTTTCGCTAAATAAATCAGTCGCGGGGGGCGCCTAAAAATCAACAAAAGTTTGAAAATAGAGTGCCGCAGACTACAAATAAATCACCTGCGCTAGTGTGTGTGAGTGTGTCAGTGTGCGAAACAGGCGGGCTCCCACCCACAATCAGTCGGCGAACACGTGCTCCAAAATATCAACAAAAGTTGGCCCACAAACATAAAAAAGGGGGGCGCAACTGCATCCGACCCGAACGCCGAAACACAAAAGGCACTTTCAAATTGGTAAGTACTTTGCGCTGCACGAGCGTTTTGTATTTATTTGCCTTATTGGTCAAACACACTTGGCGATGGCGATTGCGGCTCGAGTGTGTTTGTTTCTCTTTCCCGCGCTCACGCACAGTGGGCGTTGTTGTCATAATTGTAGGACTCTAAAAAGCTCCCCATAAAATACTTTTCCTTGCAATGCTCTTAAAGAGTAATTTTTGCCAATCGATGTTGGGGTAATTATATGTTAATGTTAAAAAAGAAAATGATTTATGATAAGATTATTATTATAAATTATTTATTTCTGGGATAAAAATGTTGAATGATTGAATCACGTCTTTTAACAACATCTTAGAGTTAATATGTAGTTCATGGAAAACAGTTCTACCAGAGTGCTTTTAAATAGTAATGGTTTTCAAGTAATGGGGTTCCTCGTTAAATAATATATATACAATTATAGTTAATAGCTATTTCAGAATAGCTACCTGTTTATTATATTCTTTACTATATAAAACTTGGTTCATAAAAAATAATGTAAAATCCTAATAGTACATTTTGTGCTATTTTATATTTCCCTAATGTTTATAAGGCAATTGATATTCAATATATTTAATTGGATAAGACCCGTTTCATTATAAAAAAATAATTATCACAATTTTCGAAGTGTTCGCCCAGTGTTCGGGTCTTCAAGTACTTACGCTTATTTCCGAATCTTCGCTATTTGAAGAATAATCCAAAACCTCTAAACTTTAAACATTTGTTAGTCGAATGCGACTGTCAACAAATAATTAAACTGGAATAATTTGAAAAGCGTTTTGCAAACGTGCTCCACCTCTTGACCATTCATTTAGTTGCTTGTTTGACTTTTTATGCTCGTTCCCATTCATTTGGTGGCGGTTTTTTTTTTCATGTTTGTGTGTCGATGTCTTTTTATCTTCCACTTTTTTCGTGCTCATCAAATAGTCGCTTCTTTTTTCGCACACATTCGCCCCCAACAAAAGAGAGTGAGAGAGCGGTCCGATTTGCGGTTATTGCGCTGTTGTTGTTGTCGTTGTCGTTGTTATGTTGCTGTTATGCTCGCTCTTTGCTCTCTTTTGTTTTCAGCTGCTCGCGCTCAATTAATTTTCGTTGATTCGTTTTTTGTGAGTACGTTTTTTGTGTATACGCTTTTCGGGCTTCTCTTTCTCGTGTTTTTCTTTTTGGGGTTTTCTTCTTTTTGTTGTATTTTTGGGGCCTGCCCGATTGCGATTATTTATTCCCCATTTCCCCATTTGCATTTATTAGGCTGAGCGGCCGATTTACCGTGTTTCTGGATCTGTAGTTACACGATTACGACTACGATTCCGGCTTCTGTTTTCTGTTGGCCGCCACTTTCGCTTATTTCATTTTCAATTGCAATTGTTTGTTTGGCAAACAATTGTTTGCTGGTCTCCCCGTCTCGCTCTAAATGTGCGCAACAAGCGAGTGGCGCGTCCTTTTATTTTCTGCATTACATTGCCCCTCATCCCTCTCCCCGGAATTCCTGCTGCCATGCTGTTCAATTGTCCAACGTCAGCACTAACAACAACAACAAAAGCAAAACCGGTTATTTTGACCAGGCAAAACAAAAAAAAAGCCAAAAACCAAAAATTGAATTTACCTCTGACGTCAACACCCACCCGACCAAAAGGTCGTATTCAAATTCGCGCTCAAAACTCTAGAATTTCACAAAACCTCACTTTGCTTTTTTGCAATTATTTATTTATAATGCGTTGCCGGCTTTACATTTACTGGAAATTGTTGTTTTAATACTAGTATATGTATATGTATATCTTGAATATGTATGTTCGTCATACGTAAACCAATCTTGTTTCAATAAATAAATGCAGAGTTATTAATTATTATTTAAACTTTTAAACCTTTCTAAAATTTAGAGACACGGCTCTAAGTAATTCAATACCCTATAGAATCCATTATGTTTAAAACTAATTTCTTACTAAGTATAATGTCATATGTTTTTATTTTGAGCTAAAATGTAATCCATTTGCGATTTGGATTTCTGAAATGACTTTTGCCTTGCCTGTCTAGTGGAAATGATTCTATAATCATTTGTATTTGTCAAATCTAAAATTGTGCGTATGCTCAAATATTTTTAAAACAACACATATAATGTTTTTCAAGCAAAAATTTCGACGCATTGTTATTTAGAGAAATTTAAATTATTCATTCCGCTAAATCTGAAATTTGAAGGCATCAGTAAAGAACTTCAAGTTGGGCTTTATCTCAACGTATCTCCTTCAAATCCGCTTCCGTTTTGATTCAACGAGCAGCAATTTTAAAACAGATAATATATTCTTAGAAAGTCGTCCAATTTTGCGAAATTTCAAATAAAAATTTATTAACACTTAAACTTCGGAACACATTCTTTATGTGCTTACACACAAAGTTTTACCCAATTTATTTGAGATTACACCCCAAGAACATCATTGGTCCATCGGAGACTCAGCTGCATCGGACCAAAAAGTGCCGGAGATGTAGTTGCATTCAGTTCTCGAGGTTGTTGACACGTTCCGTTGGCGCCCCTGACGTTTTTTGCCTTTTTGCTTTTTTGCGAGCCCATCACCTGCCCACAGAGTAACCGCGATTTTGGTTCTTCGGGCCAGAATGCGATTCCATTTCGCTTTCCATCTGGTGGTTGTCACCAACAATTTCTGGCCGCAAGCGCCTTTTTTGTTTATCTTGTGATTTTTTCCGTTGACTAACTCTTTTTTGCCCGGCATTGTTATTAATTCTCTTCGCTTTTTGCGCCCCATTGGCAGCTTTTTACTGGGTTGCAGTTGCTTTCAGTCAGTACCTTCTCCGGGCACTTTTTGACTTTTGTGCGAAAGCGCGCAGCACGTTTAATTCACAAACAATTAATTAATTCATGCATATTTATGTTAATGTGCAGA